AAAGATTGTGAAAAAAAGGGTAATGTTGTAATAGTCACTAGTTACTTCTTCAAAAAACGTAACTGAGTTAGTAACTAAGTTGCAAGATTCTAAAAGCAATTAATTACTTGAAAAGTAATTAATTAGTTAAAAGTTTAACCATGGGGTCCAGGGTATAATTGGCCTGTCACCTTTCAAAACTCTTTACTTTGCCTTGTTTGGTATCATTCTTTTCAGCACAACCTCATGTGTCTGAATTTACAGTTATATTTTCATTTTGACTTACTGTATTAACACAATTGATCTAAAATCAGACAAAAAACACAAAATCCGAGTAGAAAAAGTTATATTTTTTACTGTAACAACCACAAACATGTTTATTGAATCATATTTCATAACTTTATATGCAAATAAAAGTTGTCAGTTTTAAAATCTTATGCACAAGTTTTGCAAAAAACAAAGTTACTTGCAGCCGTACAGGGGTCTCAAACTCCAGGCCTCAAGGGCCGGTGTCCTGCAGATTTTAGATGTGTCCTTGATCCAACACAGCTGATTTAAACGGCTAAATGACCTCCTCAACATGTCTTGAAGTTCTCCAGAGGCCTGGTAATGAACTAATCATTTGATTCATGTGTGTTGACCCAGGGTGAGATCTAAAACCTGCAGGCCTGGAGTTCGAGACCCCTGCTTTAGTATAACCGTTTCAAACTATTTACATAGCAATCGGGTGTTCTGCATTAAATAAGATGCCACACAGATTATTTGTTTGCTTTTATTTTTGGTCATTAGCAGAGAGTGCTTGCTGCGAAAAAACGCCGCGTTTATCATGACTCGGGTTTTATGTGGCCCATCAACACAATATAAAAACTGGTATATGTCACCTTGTTGCTTCGTCATCATGAAGTAGTCATGTGATTGGCTTACCACGACTACTTTATTCTTCCTCAGTCAAACAGCAACACTCATGCGATTGTTTTGCCCTCTTAGCTCCATGTGTTTTGCCAAAAAGTGATCGTCGGGCAGAAAGTACCGTCCGCGGGAGCGCGCGCAGCTGCTCAAAGCTGTAGCGCCCAGATTACTTACAGCTACTTCCGTGCAACTGATATAAGGTGCGGTAACCTGAACACAGCTTCAACCGTTCTTGTTAGTAACGGTAACGGCCTTGTAAAGATAGGAATAGTAATTAGTTAGATTACTCGTTACTGAAAAAAGTAACGCCGTTAGAAATGCCGGAGAAAGTGCTGCAGGCAGATCAAACCAAAATCAAGCTCTCTGGCATCAACTGTAGAAGAGATTATATGATTATAACACAAAGAAGAAGCATTGAGGGGTCATGTGCAATGGCGAGAACCTCCTTCCCTCAGCCAGAGGACTGAAGATGAGTCATTGATGGGTTTTCCATCATGACAATGGCCCAAAACATCGAGCACGGCAACAAAAGAGTTGTCAGGCAGCAGCCATTAAACACTACTTTACAGAGCTTCTGTAAAGAGGAGTGGGTCAAAATCCCTCCTGAGATGTTTGCAAACCTGGTGACCAACAAGAAACATCTTGCTGATGTCCTTTCCAATAAGGGTTTCTCCATCAAGCGCTAAGTCATGTTTTGCTTGGGGATGAAATACTTATTTCACTCACTAACATGTAAACCAGTTTATAACATTTATGGATTTTTCTTTCTTTCTTTTTGGTTGATTCTCCCATTAAAATTAAACGTTTTGTTGTCGTGGTATTGATGGTGTTGATGATTTGGTGTAAAATTGATCGTTTGGTCATTTTTACTAGACCCTAAATGAATTTTTCAGCCCTGTAAATGTTCCTGCACGAATCCACTGTGAGCCTGTAAAAAATAAATAAATAAAACCAGCTGATTCTGGAATAATCAGTTGGGACGTTTTCACTGTGTTTCCAAGGAATGACCGATGTTTAGTAAAAATTGAGCATGTCAGCCCAGACAGAAGTGAATCTGCTCCCTGTCGAGTTTCCCGATGAGCCTGAAGAAGTTACTGTTTATTTTATTCGATCGATTTAAAACATAAAAGGCTTAAACTGCAGAAATTTCCCCCCCTTGAAATATTAAAGACAGCTTGGTTATAAAAGCTGATTAGATGTTAATCATCTTTTATACATTTAAAAAGCTTTGGACTTACTGTAGTTACTGTTATTATTGATTACCCAGCTGGTGTCATCATGGACAGCTGCAGTGATAAAACCGAGAGGATTCAATATCAACATTTAATAGCTCAGACTTCACGGTTGCAGTCAACATTTGCTCTGTGCTTTCACAAACACTATGAGCATCATCATCTTTTATATTTACCACATCAATGACACAACATATTCCATATTTTGATCATCTTTAATTACAAAAAAAAGGACAGGAAAACAATAAATAAATCTACTAGTAAAAAAAAGTAAAAGGTTAAACTACAAATTATGAACAGGAAAAGGTTACATAAGAGAATATTAACTTACCGGTTGCACACCAGCAGTTTTAGCTTTCATCGTTTAATGACATGGGCGTACTATTATGTAAAAAATTATTCACACAGCCCAGATTTGATCGAACAATTACATTTACCTATACAAAAGTAAAAACAAGCAAACAAACAGGTTAAAAACAAAATATGAAAATGTCTGAGCTTACATTAAGACCGCACTAACCTCAGAGATTATACATCGAGATATAACAGTCGGCCTGTTGTTGCTATACATAACTTATTGTACATAAGGTCAGTGCTATGTTTTCTCTACTAGCATGATCAAAAACAACAGACACACAGAGTCTCTGTCCAAGTGTCATTTGGCTCGAGTGACGTGAGGTTTTTAGACTGAATCTCATCTTTAAACCAAACGCAGCCGTGCGAGAAGTCTCACTTTTCACAGACATGAGAAAAATAAAACAGGGACGTGGTTGTTGGTGCCAACACAAACTGGCACCGTGCATATGTACAGTTCATATAAAATTCTTACAAAATGATAAAGGCTCATGCTGTCAACCATTAGAGCAACTCGCAACCTTCATAATCTTTGCAAAGTGATTCAATGAGAGGAAAAAATATACAAAAGAGAAAATGTCTTTAATCTGAGAGGAATCTAAATTTCTGAGATTAATGTTCTTTATGTTATAGTTTAAGTCATGTTCCCTTAGTGCACAGTGGAAGACTACAGAAAAGTGATGGTGGAGGTGCTGCAGCTGGAGCCTGCAAGAAAAGATCGGAACAGGTAAGAGAACCAAAGAGAAACCGATTTTCAAAAAGTGAACATTTCAGAGAAAAAATAAATCATGCGCTTATGTGATTACCTATTAAAGCGTTGTGTTGATAGCTGGAGTATATATGGTCTTGGAGACTGCGGTGCCACTGCTGCCCCCTGCTGTTAACACCTGGAGCTGCAGCTGGTAAACGCTGTCGGCCTGAAGACCATAGACGCTCACAGACCTCTGAGACTGCGGAGGAAGAAGAAAGTTCACAAAAAACTAAAGTAAAAGCATAAATAGGATGAAAAGTAAAATGAAGAGGCCAAACCTATTTTTTCTTTCTTTTTAAATGGTTTAAGGAGATGGTTTTTACAGGGTACAGGGAAGAGGTAGAGATTTGATAGGGTGTTCTTGTCTAATATTTTCATGTGTGTACGGGTGCACAGGTATGTTGGTATGGGTATATATATATATTTGTAGGTTGTGTATCCTTTGAGATGTTAATGGGGTTATTGAAAATGTGTATATGTGCGTACGTGTATATACGTATGTATGGATAGATAGAAACATATATGTATATATATATTAAAAAAATGAAAAATAAAAAATAAATAAATAAATACACATGACATATAATGTAATTGCAAGGAGGTATTTCTGTAGTCTATTGATTACTAGATAGTGGAAAAGGGGTGGGATTAAATAAGCTTATGCTTCTTCCTGCTCCTTTTTGAACATGAAAGTTATTTGTAGTTGTGGTTGCTCGTTTTCCTTTTGTTTTGCTTT